GATCCGTAGATTTATCATTGCGGCTATGCAGTTGAGCCTAGAATGCATCTGTTTAAGGGGGGGTGGGTTTAACTTGCTTTGTACATTATTTCGAAATGATCCTGCATCTCTCGTTTATTACTTGTTTTCTACTAATATGTTGTCCATTTTTCGCTTTAAGTTCGTAATATTTTCCTGAAAAATGACTTTTAACCTCAGTTGTGATTTTGCTTGTTTTCTGTCATCAGTTTTGCATGGTTTATACAGTGTCTGTTTCTCATCTAGGCACTTTTCTTTACATTGCCGGTACTTCTTGATACTTTTAATTAGTTTTGTACATCCCTAGCGTAGCGGCTCTACGTTTTTGTTAATTTCCGTTGCATTTTGCACGTTATGCTTCGCATAGAAAAAAAGGTTGTCATCGTTGGAATGTCGATCTTCTTTCACTTTCATGATTAGGCCATTTTGGCGGTCTTTTTTTTATATTGAAATTGATGGGGTGGTGCTTATCCCCCTTTCAGTGCAATCAGCCAGCAATGCCTTATTATTTTAATGGCAGAATCTACATCCGTCTGATAAGCTAGCTTGTGGTCTCCTGTTTCTTCTCCACAGAGCGGTGCTAATTTATCAACCTTTGAGGGAAGAAGGGCAAGTGACCCCGACCGAGGTTTGAACTCTGGACTTAACGGTTTTAAGTTCGACGATATACCGACTGCTCTGCGTGTGGTCAAGATACTTAGGCTCATTCTTTTCATAGTTGCTTTCTTCTGTACCTCCTTATTTTCAGTCTCTTAAATACACTGTATTTGCATTGCTACAGCTTTACTAGGTGATTAATCAGTATCAAAAGTGCATATAAATTCTATTTTAGCGGTAGTATCTTTTGACTTTCTGCTGCTTTCATGATTTCTGTTTATACTGATTTGTCTGGTAAGATCCGAGATCGAAGTACAAGAAAGCCACCCTCGCTATGGGCGTTTGGCTCCTATATCGGTGTAGCAACTTTTCTGGCGTCTAGTTTTTGAAATTAAGAAAGTCGAAAGGATGAAAGACTTCGCTATCATCGTTTTTATTCGATTGAAGCAAGAAAGACTGTGCGACTTCACTCTTTTTGAGGTTTCTACTTATAAGTAGTGTTTCTGACCGTGCCCATTCCTGCAGTCATTGTTTCATCCAAACGCTGTTCTAATTTTGTGGTTAGTTAAGAACTGTTGCTCCTAATTGTTAATTGCCGCTTTCTGACATTTTCGTTTTTCTTTGTTAGTCGTATGAATTAATTTCGCATATCTAGTTTATTTTGTTCTGCGTTGAAAGCAGCATATACAATTCAATTAGACATTACGTACAGATGGGCGTTTAAAGGTAGATGGTCGCCTGTGAACGCCAGTGGCACATTCAGCGAAAGTACTCCACTCAGGAACAGTCTTGCTTCCTATTAAGTATCAAGTACAAATTTAATATGAAAATTGCTCAGAGCCTATATGCAATGAGACACAGGAAGGCATGTTTCCTGTGTGCCGTTTCGATTCGAAAAATAAAATTGATGAATCGCGTTACGAAAGAGACATTAATCTCCAGTTCTGCGGCAGCTTATGCCTTGAAAAGGGTGTAGTATTTACTTGGATTATTTAAGTCTGGTATCGAAGTTATCGCCAGCTAATTCTGAAAGCAGCAGCATGAATTGATAGTTGTCTCTACAGTCTGAAACCATTCAAGTGCTGCA